TTTTGGAAATCAAGAAGTGGAACATTCGGGATGCCGTCACGAATCGACTGGAAGACTTCAAACGTAGTCTCGGGGAAGGCTATAGCGGACTCCGGGCATTATCACCGGAGAATGCTGTTTTTATTGGAGTCAGGCGAGGTGTGTTGGACGTCAAGGAGTTGGGAAAAGTGTGGAGTAAGAGCGTGAAGCCATTGAGATGGATTAAAGGTTTCCAGGGAAAGACTGGACTAGCGCTACTTATTAATGGTAACCACCGGAGGAGTGTGATGGAGAGTATCCACCAGAAATCACTGGAAGGGCTCGAACGGCTTGAAATCGCGTTGGAAAATATGAAACGGAAGGGCGATACACAATCTGAACAATATCAAAGGGCTCTCGAGGCATGGAATTCCTCGCAGGACACTCTCCAGCGTGTGGGAAGATGGATGGTGAAGGTTTATGATTTGGGTGAGTGCCCAGTGGGAATCTATTTTGGATCACGGGTGAAATTGATAGCCTTATATGCAGACGCAATTGAAGAGCACCATCTTCGCATCAAAATCAGAAGCTATCTAAGCAGGAACGTGAATATCTGGCATACAGCTGATACCGAGGATAGTTATTTACAGATTCTATACACGTTTCTCACCGGCATGTCGACTGCAGAGGAGGCCATCACGTTTGTAAAATCTAATTCGGACAACATGCCCAACTCCCGAGCAGGGAGGGCGTCTTCTAACGGAACGATGCTCTGGTGCGTTGCCAAGTATCTACGATTACCCGCTCTCAGTGATCGCAAGCCGTTTTCGGCCAAACTTCTGTTCGACTCGAGGACTACTGTTTCGCCGTTCCTCGAGGCACTCTGCAGGGAGGGCTACCTCCAGTTTCTCTTCCTGTGCACCAACGTAGATGTCCCGCACCTCAAAAACCTTACTGCAGAAGAATTGGAGGATGTCAGGAACGAACTGCATGAGAAGGCATGCAATGAATTCACAGGACACAGTGTGGACTTTCTTGCAATTCCCACTGAGTTCATAGCACTCCTAGAGAACGCGTTCCAGAACCATCTGGCAGGATCAGTATTAAATTTTGGATCGCCCCTCGATGTCCACATTCAAACGTGGGAAGATGATTATGAAGGATATGTGAAAGACATTGCCCATCAAGCCGAAGCATGGGTTGAGGAGGCATGCACAACAACTTTCAAAGATGCACCAGATACAATAGACTTGTTACAGAAACTTTGCCTGAAGCTCGAGTGGTTACTGAATGGGAGGTTATTCGACAGTGTGTCTATTGGCCTGTACGACGAAAGGTACAGGAAGCCTATGATAGTGCCAGAGATGATATTAAGCATCGTTCGTGGGGTACACGCAGTCAGAGCAGGTTACGATTGGGTGAGTCTTGGTTAATTTGGATCATGTTCCAATTTCTGACATTTGTTTTCCAGATGTTTACGATGATTGAACCATTGTATGTGTTTTCGATATTTGAGTACAAGTCGTCATCATCCCGTGGGGCAAGCACGATCCTTGCCTCTCATTTCAAAAACCGGTGGTCGTATAACCGCACTCTCAGTTGCTTTTACTCTGCCCGGTTAGCCATTGCAGGTCCCATCCATCAAGAGTTGACTGGGCCAAAGACAAAACAGTGGTCCAACACCAAAGGCCCAGAGGTAAAATCAGACATTTATATCTCCCTCACCAAATTGTTGGGTTTCGTTATGGTGTCCGATGATTCTACTTTTCCACCCCGCTCAGAACTGGAGGCTGCCCAGGTACGCTCTTTGCAAAGATGCGAGGGTGGGGAGGAGATTCTGACGATGGCGTGTGCCACAATG